CGCCGCCCCGCCCCGGGGCGCGCCCGCGTCGCTCACCGACTTGCTTCTTCTTGTCCTTGGTCTTGAGGCGCACGATCTGCAGGTAGCTGCTGCTCGTGACGTCGGCCATGACGGCGGCGATGCGGCCCCACACGCGCAGCAGGGCCCCGCACAGCATGTAGTGGTGGCGCAGCCGCAGGCCCTGCACGCAGTCCTTGCCCTCCTGCACCAGCCGGCACGGCCGGTTCCTGCGCGGCGGGCGGACACACGGACACAGACGGGGCGCTCAGAGCGGCCCAGGGAGACGCTCCACCTCCTCGGGGTCCCGGGACGCCCCAGACGCCCCCCGCGCCCCCTCCCGCCCGGCGCTGTGTCGGGGACCGTCCCCCCGAGAGCGGGGCGGGGCTGTGCAGTGCGCCCCCCGTCCAAATCCGACCCTCACCACAACGTGTGGCTGCAGTGCGTCAGCGAGAAGCTGTAGCTGCTCTCCCAGTGCTCGCGGGCCTCCTCCGCCGCCACCTGCGGACACGGCCACGTGAGCCCAGCGCAGGCGGGGACACTGAGGCCCGGGGCGCCCCGGGCCTGCTCAGCCTGCACCTGCCGGCTGCACGGGGCGCCGGCCAGGAACCTGAATAACGGGGCCCCGAGCCGCGCGTCTGGGGACCGGCCCCCGCCCCGGCCTACCCGGTGGAACTTCCGGCAGAGCCCGTCGAGGGTCTCTGGCTGGCTCTGCCGCCCGATGTTGGGCTTGTAGACGGTGAAGAGCTTCCCGCGGTTCTGCTCGGCCAGGAGGCAGCTCGGCTTGTTGCCGCGAACCTGGGGGGAGGCGCGTGTGAGGCGGCGGCGGGCGCCGCACGTCCGCGGTGGGGTCCCCGAGGACGCCCCCTCCCCCCCCACCCCGCACCGCCCGGGGTCCCGCCCACCTTGTGGGAGAGGTAGAAGCCGTCGTGGGCGCCCGTCAGCTCCAGCGACCTGGCGTAGGCCTCGTCCCACCTGAGGCCGCGGTCCACGCTGATCTAGGACGGCACGCGCGCGTTAGGGCCGGGCCGGGGCGCGGCAAGGGGGAGGGCGCGGGGCCAGGCCGCTCACCTTGTAGAAGACCACCTGCCCGTCCTGCGGGTGCCCGGGGGCCAGGAACACCTGCTGGCTCTCCTCGTAGATCTCGTCGATGCCCGGAGCCAGGTCTGGGGAGAGGGCCGTCGGACGCGGTGAACGGGGTGAGCGGTCCAGCCTGGGGCCCGCGCCTCCACGGGTGTCAGCATGCCCCTGGCCTTTGGGGGGCCTCAATGCCCAGCTCTAGGGCCTCCCCCCCCCACCCCCGGGAGCGCGGTGGGGGTCGCTCGCAAGCCCGCGCTCACCCAAGATGCCCATGTCGTATTTGCCCTCCTTCTTGTCCACCTCGATGAGGTGGTCGAAGGTGTCGGAGAAATACTGGAACAGCGCGTTCTGCTTGTGCACCTCCAGCCCCAGGATGCGGTTCAGGAACTTGGTGATGGAGCAGTCTGCAGGGCCGCGGGCGGGGGCCTCAGGCTGCGTCAGGAGCGCCCGCCCGCCCACGCCCCGGAGAATGGGCGACCCTCCTGGGGGGTGTGGGGACGCCAGTCCGGGGAGGGTGGGGGACCCGCCTGGGGGGTGTGGGGACGCGCCCACGCGGAGAGCGCGCGCGGGACTCACCCCTCTCCACGTCCAGGCCGCCGGACCTGGACTCGCGCCCGACAATGCCGACCGAGAGCAGGCCCTGCTTCATGTCTGCGGAAAGGGAGGCCTTACGCGGGGTCCTCGGGCGCCGGTCCCTCCCCAGCCCGCGGGGGCCCCTTGGTGGGAGGAGTCCTTGGACACACATCCAGTGCACCAGTCCCAGCGCCCCAACCTGCTCGGGGCGCACCAGCCCCGCCCCCCAGGGGGCCCGCGTGCCCCCGCTCACCGCGGAAGAAGGCGGCGTCCCCTCCGGGGTAGCCCCGGGGCAGCGGCACCTTGTTCTCCGTCTGGCTCAGGATGGTGGTGAGGACACAGTTGAGGGCCCGGGCGCCGTACTGAGTGGAAGCGAGGAGAGCCGGGTCAGGGGCTGCGCTGCGGCCCCGGGACCCCTGCTTTCCGGGCCCCGCCCCTCCACGCCCCAGGTACCTTGTTCTCAAAGTTGTACTTGCTCAGGTCTCGGGACTCGGTGGCGCGGCGGTCCCCGTGGGTCAGAGCCCCCTGCCGGGACGGGAAGGCCGTCACGCGCGCCCCGGCCCCTCCCCGAGGAACCGCCCCCGCCCGAGGGTCCCCGCCCGCCCGCCCGCTCACCAGGCTCTCCAGCCGCTTGGCGACGATGGAGGCAAACCTGCGCTCCCCGGCCAGCTCGGAGATGAGGAACACGTACTCGGGCGCCGAGACCTGGTTGGACCGGTGGGTGCGGCCTGAGGGCAGAGGGGACGTTCAGGGACCATCCGGGGCGGGGCCAGCCGGGCGGGGCGGGGCGGTCAGCCCGGGGGCGGGGCCGGCGCTCACCGAACTGCTGGATGGCGCGGTCCGCGCTCCAGGGCAGCTCGAGCGTCATGTGGACCCGGCGCCGCTGGTTCTGGACCCGGCGGTCGGCTTGGAGGGAGACGCCGGAGCTGGAGGCCTCCGAGATGATGGCCACGAGCTGGGGGACGCGGACGGGCCAAGTTGGCGGCGGGGGGGGCAGCCCACCCGCGGCTTCTTGCCCCTCGCACCCCACGCCCGGGGCCACCTGGACTCGTTTACGGGTGACCCGCACCGAGTCTCGGTGCCTGCCTGTCGGGGGCACTGTGGGCTTGGAATGGAGTCAGGACCACCCCGCTCACCCCTGGAGGGAGCGCCCTGCTCAGGCACACGTGACGCGCGCACACGCGTGAGAGATGCACACGGACACAGCAGGGGCTGGGGTGGCCGTGGTCCCTGAGCCAGCCCCTCAGACCCCCGTGCCTCCCCCGTCACCTGGGCCCTCTCGGGCTCCTCCCACAGCACACGGGTGCCCCGGAGACCCCACAGTGGCCCTCCCCTCCCTGCGTTCCCCACCTTCTCCCCGCTCATGAAACGCTCCTTCTCCCTGAGGTTCACGTGGTCGATGGAGAGGCCCTGCTCCGCCCGAGACTCGAAGGCCACGGTCCCGTCCGGCCTGGACACCACGCGGCCCTTCCTGCCGGTCATCTGTGGCCGTGGCGGGGGCAAGGCGACAGGCTGTCAGCCGGTGTGGCCGCCCAGGGGCTGGTCCCTGGGTGCCTCAGTTTCCCCGTCTCCCAACCTGGGACCCTGGGCCTCCCGGGGGTGTGTGTGTGGGGGCAAAGCGCATGCCTTTGCACTACATCCTAGGCTTTTATCACACAGCAGCAGAGCTGGGCAGGGACTCGTGGTGGCCACCAGGGGGCGCCCCGGGCTCACCTCAGCCACGCGCTCAGGGCCCCCCAGCTGGTCGACGAGCTCGTCCAGGGTGTTGAGCGGCAGCTCGCGGCCCAGCGCCCGCACCTTGGCCAGCAGGTCCTGCTTCAGCCGCTCCACGTGCTCCAGGACACCAGGGCCGTGCAGGTCCCGCTGCGGGGGGCACAGCGAGCCTGCGGGGCCCAAGGGTCAGGGCACCAGCCAGGCCACCTGCCCACAGCCCCCTGTGGTGGGACTCAGCCCGGGGCCCTCGAGGACGAGTGGGAGTGGGGACAGCTGGGTGCACAGGCGGCCCTGGGGGCACCGTGGACCCTGTCACATCGCTTTTCTGTGCTGGCTCCCCGAGACCAGCTGAGGTATGGGATGGAGCCTCCCTGCGTAGAGCCCCCACGTCTGGGCCCAAGCCCAGCGACCTCACCAGCCACCCAGGGGCAGTGAGGACCCCCGACACCATGTGGGGCTGGGGAGCAGGGAGGACAAACGGAAGCTCAGGGCCCAAGTGCCCCCAGCTGCAGGGCTGGTGAGGGAAGGAGGCTCGGCTGGGGTTCCAGAACATTCTCCCTCGCCCAGACTGCCCGTGTGAACCGGCCCTGCCTCTGAGCAGCCACGTGGCCCCGACCTCCCCTCTCCGAGCCACAGTCTCCCCATCCGTGAGGTGGGGAACACCGGGCCTGGGCCTCACCGCGGTCGTCAGCCGGGAGCCCGATGGCATCCACGATGACCACGTCGTCGTCCACCAGGGACTCGGGGGAGGAGTGGAAGTCGCTGTCCAGGCCGGCGTCCGACTCAGTGCTGCTGTCGTCGCTGATGCGGATCACGCCCGCCACCTCGCACACCAGCCGGGGCGCCTTGGCCCCACGGCCCCGTGGCCGCCCTGCGGGGGAGGAGCCAAGGTCAGCAGGCCAGCCTCTCCCCCGTCGCCGGGGCCTGGGCTGGGGGGCCCGCTCGGGTGAATCCCTACGCTTTCGGCTGCTCTCCTGGGTCACGCTGTTGGCCAGGGCTCGATGTCAGGGCAGATTTAACATCCCCGACTTCCTGACATGGTGATGCGTCCTCGGGTGGTGCCTGGGGAGGCCGCACGCCCATCCTCAAGAGGTGGCCCTGGGTGGTTGGCCAGAGGATGTGCCTGGGCCCTGAGGGGACAGTAGTCCAGGACACCCTGAAGGCTGGTCTGGGAGGTGGAAGGGAGGGACTAGGCGGTGGGGTCGGCTCTGCCCCCAGGCCTGGCTGTGTGACCTCAGTGAGGTGCCTGGCCTCTCTGAGCTTCACTTCGGCTCACTGAGCTGACACTCGGCCTTCGCCTGGAAGAACGGCGGCTGCCCACACCAACAGGTGTGATGAGGACCACTTCCTCGTCCCAGGATGCTCTTTTTTTTTTTTTTTTAATAATTTTATTTTTTTTCCCCGAAGCCCCAGTACATAGTTGTACGTCATAGCTGCACATCCTTCTAGTTGCTGTACGTGGGACGCGGCCTCAGCATGGCCGGAGAAGCGGTGCGTCAGTGCGCACCCGGGATCCGAACCCGGGCCGCCAGCAGCGGAGCACGCACACTTAACTGTTAAGCCATGGGGCCGGCCCCCCAGGATGCTCTTTAAAGGGCCCCGTCCTAGTCCACACGGCCGGCGTGGTTTTAGCCGCGGGCTCGCTTCCACTGGGGCAGCGCGAGGCTGTGTGCCAGGATCCCGTGGCCCTGCCTTCTGGGGTGAGGCTGAAGGCCGCAGAGTGTGGCCGCGTGGGGACGAGCTAGCGGCGCCCGCTCCTGCAGCACCGGGCTTTTTTCTAACTTGGCAGCAGAGGAAGGTCTCTGGCTCTGCCGGACCCACATCTCCTGGGCGGGCAGCGCGGCCGGGAGACTGCTGCCCGCAGGTTTCTCTCTAGAGAACCTCTGCTCCCCGCCCGCCCTCTGCACCCATCAGACCCTGGACGCCCTCCCCCACAAGCCGACTGTGGTTTCGTTCTTCCTTTGCAGGGGGATGCTGGGAAAGGGGCAGCATCCCACCCCCTTGGGCTGCTCTGGAGGAGTAGGGTGGGGGTCAGCGGTTAGGCCTGCTTAGTGACAGAATCCCGTGTGGCTCTGCAGAGAGCAGCAGAGGGGGCAGCGGAGTGACCAGCCAACCCACGGACGATGCACAAAAAGGAGAGACTGGAGGGCAGCAGCAGGACGGAGCGAGGACAAGTGGGAGGCCCAGGAGGGCCACAAGCCAAAGCCGCGGGCGGGGTGCTTACGTTTTCTCTTGCTGCCGGCTCCTCTCTCTCGCTTTCTTTTGGTTGAAGGAAAGTGCTTCTGAATCAGAGACAGGAAGACACCCCTGAAAGTGAAAAGCTGAGTTTATTCACTATGAAGACAGGTCCTGCTGTCCGGCCAGGAGACCCGGAAGGCCACTGGGTCCTGTGTACAGTTTGCTCTGGGGTGGGGGGCACCCAGCACCAGGGGCCCTGCGGTGGGTCAGAGGGAGGGGCTGGGCCTGGGCCGAGGGCCTCACTTCAGGGCTCAGAGAAGGGGGGAGGGGGGTGGAAAGGAGCTGTGAGGACAGCAGGGTGGGGTGCCCACCCGCACGCAGTGGGCCTGTGGCTGCAGGGGGTGCAGATTAGCTGTGATGGACTGGGCTTGGGGCCGGGGTCTGGGTGGGGCTCCCGCCGTCAAAGGGCCCTCGGCTCTGCCCACACAGGCTGACCGTCTCGGAGGGATGAGGGGCAGCCGCAGATGGCGGCTCCCAGCATCGGGGCAGGTGGGGTGGGTTTGAGGAGGGGTTGGGGCTCCCTGGAAAAAGGAGATGACGCCAGGCTGGGGGGGAGCTGGGATGAGGAGGAGCTGGCAAGGGGCCGTGCTGGGACCCTGGCCCAAGCTGGGCTGGAGCGCCTTCCTAGCCCTGGGAAGAGAGGCCAGGGGCTTTGGGGACCCCAAACGCCAGTCTCTGAAATCAGCGGACTCCTCCTTGACAACAGCGCTGTCCCTACGTGGGGGGGCAGCCAGAAGCCTTGTTCTGAAACCCCGGGACCCTCTGAGCCCTGTGGCCGCCCGTGGTTAATCTTTCGGGCTTTAAATCTGGAGCTGGGCCTAAAGCACGGGGGGTCGAGGGTGGCGTCTCCTGCCTGCCCACCTGCTCCCGGGGCTGGGGGGTCTCGGGGCAGCACCAGGCCACAAGTAGGCCCCCAGGGAGGCCCAGCGAGCAGGGGCACCTTCTCAGGTCACACAGCAAGGGGGTCCCGGGCGCGGCCGCCCCGCCCACCCCTGGGCGCCACTCACTCAGCAGCGGAGACGAAGCAGTCGAGTTGCCCGTCCTTCTCGTCCAGCACCTCCCGGGTCCGAGCCTCACCCGTGGACTGCAGCCCGATCACCACGCACTGCGGGGGGCGAGGGGGTGAGCTGGGCCCTGGGACCCCCCACCAGCCCTGAAGCGTGGCCCAGAGGGAAGCCCCAGGCCACCCAAACCCAGCCCCCTGCAGCCGTAGTCTGCCTCAGTTTCCCCCCCTCCCTCCCCTTGTGTCCCACTCGTTGCCCGGCCCCCAGCACCCCCAGATCCACCCGGGACTCCGCATGGCAGCCGACTGCCGGCCCCGGCCCCCCTCGCTGTTCTCTGCCCGGCCCGCCTCCGCCCGCTCACCTTGTCCCGGGCCAGCTCCTCGTGGGCCAGCTCCACCAGCCGGCGCACCTTGGCGGCCACGCACAGGTACTTGAAGAAGCGCTGGTGGGCCGACCAGAACTGACCCCACAGCGACTTGCGGGATTCCAGGCCGATCCAGTCGGCCGCCTGCTGGAACACGCTCAGGGCCTCGGCCCACTGCAACAACACGGCCCACTCAGCTCGCCGCCGCCCGGCCGCTGCCCATCCCCGCCCGGGACCCGGGACCCGGGACCCAGGCCCACCGGCCCCCAGCCTGCTGGAATTTGGGGCCAGGGGTGGGGGTCGTAAGAAGAACAAGAGAGGCGCCGCCAATAGCCCAGGAGTCAGCCATGTTAAAAAACCAAAACGTGTGACGCAGGCGAGGCCACGGTGGAGGGAGCAGTCACAAGGGGCAGGGCAGCTGCAGTGACCGCCTCCCGCCAGCAGACACTCGTCTCCGACAGTTTAGACCAGGGGTCTCAACGGGGCAACTCTGCCCCCAGGGGACACTGGGTGACGTCTGGGGACATCTGGCGTTGTCCCACTGGGGAAGCTCCTGGCATCGAGTGGGTGGGGCCAGCGATGCTGCTCAACCCCCACAGCGCCCAGGACGGCCCCCCACAGAGAGTGACCTGGCCCGAATGTCCACAGTGCTCAGGGGGAGGCCCTGTGTTGGTTTGACCTGAAAGAACCATCTAGAACACAGGCAGGGCTGCTGCTCAGGGCTCATCCCGTGTGGGTGGGATCTGACAGAACACGGAAACCCATCCACATGGAGGGGACGCTGAAGGAGACGGGGGCCAAGCCACAGGCCACAGAGACGTGGACACTGAAAACGGCCATGCGCTCTGGGTCACGACCTGGGGGAAAGTGCTTGCAGATGGTGGGAAGGGGAGGCGGCCGGTCCTACGCCCACGTCATTAGTCACTTAAGGATCCCTGACCTGAACAGAACCGAGGCACTGGGCTCCCGCCAAACACCAGCAGGCGGGCCGGCTGCTGCCCCCCTCCGTGACTTGACAAGCCCCTGTGGCGTCTTTAAGGACGAGGAGCAATGCACAGAGTGTCCACGTGGCGGAGACCCCCCCGTCTGCTCACCAGCAGGGCCGCGTGGTTGTAGACGTGCTCGAAGGCCGGGGCCAGCGGGATCTCCTCAATGCGGAAGGTGACGCCAGAGAAGCTGAGCTGGCGGGCGATGTACATGCCGCTGACCTTCATGTCCATGGCCACGATCTCCATGGCGCCCACGCCCCTGCGGACAGGGACAGGGCCCTGAGCGCGGGCCGGGACTTGTCCACCACATATGGGGTCCCACCTAGCGATGAACTGACTCTGGGGAGGGCTGACACCTGGGGCTGAGCCCCGGCGGGGAGGAGGGGCTGGGTACAAGGACACGGCACGTGCAAAGGCCCTGGGCTCTGTTTGCTGCGGCAGATTCTCATTTTACGATCCCTCTGGGGGCCAGAGGAGTGTGAGCTGGGGTGTGGAGGGGGCACACGGACACCAGGCCCCAGTGTGTGATGAGCAGGGCCCCCAGGGGGTCCCCTGCTGCCTCCGTCACGGGCAGGGAAGGGTGCTCACCTCTTCTCGATGGCATGCAGAAACTCCTCAAAGGTCCGGAAGGGCGTGCCCTCACCCCAGATGCCCAGGCGGCTCATGTAGATCATGTTCCGGGGCTCGGAGGCACCTGGGGGGAGGTGCCGTCAGCTCCTCCAACCCAGCGAGGTCGGGGGGGCCTTGAACATGGCCAGAAATGGCCCGAGGGCCAGGAACGGGGCTGAGGCTCTCAGAAAAGTGCCCACAGGTGGGGTGCCGAGGAGCTGGAGCCAGCGGGCAGAGGGGAGCCCCTGATGGGGGTTGGCGTCTGCCTGGGGAGAGTGACCTCTGCCTTCAGGCCAGGTTGTATGGGGTGCAGACAAGCAAAGCCACGGATGGCATATTGGATGCCACCCAACGGCTGGACCACAGCAGACATCACTAATTGATCATGGCACATGCGATCAGGCACCCTCCCTGCCCCTGACATACTGGACACGCCCCAGGGCTGCACTAGAGCAGACAATGCTAATCGATGATCGCACGTACAATGAGGCTCCCCTCCCTGCCCGACACAATGGACACCCCCGCAACGGCTGCACCAGAGCAGACATCGCTAATTGATGACGGTAAGTGCAATCAGGTTCCCCTCCCTGCCCCTGACATACTGGACATCCTCCAGGGCTGCACCAGAGCAGACATCGCTAATTGATGATGGCACATGCGATTGGGCACCCTCCCTGTCCCTGGCAGCTGTCCTCAAAGACCAGCCCCACCCCCGCCCCCCACGGGCCCCTCACCTGTGGCGCTGGCATAGACCACCCTGGCCAGGGGCAGCTTGTTCTGCAGGTCCAGCACGGCCTTGCCCATTTTGGTGGAGCTGGCGTTCTTGGCTTTGTGACACTCGTCAAACACGATCTGGGGTGGTGTGGGTCAAGGACTGTTCTGGAAGGCAGGCTACCCACAGGCCCTGGCCTGACGCCCCCCCAGGCTGCCCGTTCCTGGTTGGGGGAACTCGGCAAGATGCCTGGGGGGGGGTGTGGCCACGGGGTGGGGGCCTTGGGTGTGCAAGGTCATGAGGGCAGGTGAGAACAGCCTCTGGGCCACACACGATGCTGACGTGTGTGTGACGGCCTTGTGAAGACCTCGAAGACGAGGCTGAAGCACAGACACGCACCCACCAGCATCAGGGAGGGGGGGCCTCTGAATGAGCGGTGGGCTGTGACTGTGCCCACCAGGAGCTGGGCTCGTATCACATTCACAACTGAACACGAGTCTGCACTGATCTCAATTTAAAAACGACGCGGAAAAACAAACTGAAAGATACAGAAAGTTCTTGACGTTTTAAGGGGGAAAAAGCAAGTTACAGACAAGGATGCCTATCATGAACCCACTTGAAAACAAAGTGTGTCTACACACACGTGTGCACATACACGTGATGTGCGTGTGTAAAGGGCTGACGGAGGACCTGCGAAAATACAAGAGAAGAACGGGAGCCTGGAGCCGAGCACACAGCCCCTCAGGGTGGAATGTTAACACTGTCGTCATTTCTACACGCTGCGTTGCCGAGTGTCAGTCAGGTGCCCAAGGCGCACCGTGACCCCAGTTCTCCATGTGGCCCGCAGGAGCTGTTCTGTACTGAGGCGAGTGTCTAACAGTAAACCTGTGAACACGCCCTTGTGCACAGAAAGGACACCCAGGCCCGCGTCCCCCTTCTGACCCATGATTGGGACCAGGAGCGAAGGGCACTTCTGGAGAGCGTGGGGGCCGGTCCCCCCACTTCTGGGAACAGCCTGGAGGAGACAGTGAGAAGGGGTCTCCCTGGACACACCCGCTCACTCCTGTTTATAAGGCAGAGAGACTGGAAACCACGGGAATGTCCCCAAGACCAGAAAATGGCTGTGTAAGGGCAGAGCAGTGTGACACTCGGGGACGAGCAAACCCGAGGGCTCAGGCGGGGAAGAGGAAATTGGGGTGAAATGGCACACACGGGACAGCCCGGGGCTCAGGAGGACAAATATCCTGCACGGCCGCCCCAGGCTCCACCGTGGGAACAGAGGCCGCCTCAGCAGCAAGAGGCAGGGTCTGGTGACAGATAAACGGGCGCCCTCTGCAGACATCCCGGCGGGGAGCGGTAGGGCCCCTGGTGCCCACTGCGGGGCGGGGCGGGGGGGGCGGCTGGGTGAGACTGAGGGGTCTGCTGGAAGGGTGTTAGAGAAAAAACGTGTCTGCACTCGGTGTGCAATTAGACAAGTTAGCGGAGATGCGGTCAACTCTGGCTTATTCTCCTACGCTTCACTTTCCCACAGTTCGGCAGGAGGAGAACAGAAGTGATCTAAGTTCCAGGGGAGAAAATGGGAAGGGTGGAACCAGCCCCCCAATCAGGGGTCTTCTTGCCACAGCCAGGAAGGGCCTGGGACCTGACACCCACTGGCCAAGCCCAGGCAGCCTTGCCTCCTGCAGAGCCATCCTCTGGGCCTCCTGGCCTGGCCTGCCCACCCCAGGAGTCCAGACCAACTGAGGGGGGAAAGTGCTCCACGCCCCCACACCTCCTGCCCGCGGTGTCACAGCAACCACCACCCTAGCCTGTGGTCACGGTCTGCCTGCTGGAGCCAGGAGGCCCAGCCAGACCGCCAGGGGCAGAGGACAGCGGTCACTGAGGGTGAACCTCGCAACGAGAACATTCCTCTGCCGAGAATTCCTCCCGCGTGAGGGGGTGGGGTCTCAGGCCCTCCGGGCTCCTTCCGCCCCGCCAGATCCCATCATGATGCAACCGGAGAGAGATGCCTCCCTGACCCCTCCCTGACCCCTCCCGACCCCTTATCCCACCAGCCCCCTCCAGCCCCACCTCCCTCCTCTCCCCTTCCCCTCCCCTCTCACCAGGCCCCCGCCCCTGTGGCCCCTTCCCTTCAAACCCGCCCCGTCCTTCCAGCCCACCCCACTTTGCCGCCTCCTCCCCCTGCCCATTCCCCTCCTCCCTCCCGGTCCTGTAGCCCCTTCCCTCGACCCGGCCCTGTCCTTCCACCCCACCCCACCTCGCCCCTTGCTCTCCTCTCTCCCGCCCCTGTAGCCCCTCCCCTGGCCCCCTCCCGCCCGCGGGCAAGGATACCACGCCGTCGAAGGCCTCCCCACACCACTCGAGGATCTGGCGGATGCGCGTGCGGTGCTGGCCGCCGGCCTGGCTCTCCCCGATCAGGGCGGAGTAGGTGGCAAACAGGACGCCCTCTGAGGTAGTGTTGTCGCCGTACTTGATCTGCGAGAGAGGCGGGCGTGGGCGCGCGCGGGGGACCCCGGGGCGGGGGCGCGGCGGCGGGGCGCACACCCACCTTGCTGAGCGCGTGCACCGCAATGCAGGGGGCCTCGATGTCGCGCAGGTCGCGCTCCGCGTCGTACTTGAGGTCGTTGGAGACGCTGAACCTGCAGGGCGGGGCGTCAGGGCCGTTCCCGCCCTCGCCCGGCAGCCCCACCCCGCCCCGCCCCACCCCGGCCAGGCCCGCGGGGGACCCACCACAGGGACTTCTTCCTGCCGCGCAGGTAGTTCTCCAGGATGATGCCGGCCACCGTGCGGCCCTTGCCCACGCCCGCGCCGTCGCCGATGAGGAAGCCGGCGCGCTGCCCGCCCGGGAGCAGGACCTCGTGTTGCTGCGGGGACGGGGAGGGACGGGGTCAGGCCGGCGGGGCGCCCTCCTGCCGCGGCCTCCCCAAGCGGGACCCCCCACGCGGGACGC